GTAGTTTTGGTTCCTACTCATATAATTAATATTTGGTTTCCTTGGCCTTGATGAGAAAACATATTCTAAGAAACATGAGTCAGTCCTATGTTAGTCTCCACATAGAACCTTAATATAGTTAATATCTATAAATAATTCACAAATCACCAGTACCACCTGAAAGTTATAAAAGGGGAATGATAATCACGGCACAGAACTGAGCAGTTGGAGCAATGAGAGTGTACAGCCCTCCGACTGGCCTTCAGAGGCAGGATGGACCAAAAGTTGACCGCCTTCTCTTGTGAGTATCTGCTCTTGTCTCAGGGCTTTGTAATTTTAAATTTTGGCTATATTATTACATTTTATCTATTTTTAATTTATTTACTGATAGTGAAGTGAAATGCCCATGTTATACAATCAGCTCATATGTGTGTAGTTTTATTTTCCGATAAATGTCAATAATAACAGTGTTATTAAATGTTACCAACTCAGAATATTTTTCCTTGACTGCTCCTACTTCATTTTGTTAAAAGTGAAATCACTCTTATTTACCTAACACTATTCATTATAGGTAAAGCTGGGTGAAATGTATTTTGAAATGTTGTTATTTACTTTTTACTTGCTTCAAGTAATAAGTCTTTGAGTCAACATAAACTAAATAGATATTTGAATATATATTTAAGAAGCTGTTAATCTCAATGCTGGCTGGTGCTTTGTGCATCTATTTACATTTGAGGATAGCTATTTGGGAGAAATAGATATTCAGGGGTGGGAGGAACTGTGTCTGGTATTTTTTAAATGCTTAAAAAATAATACTGGTTATTCGCACTATTAATTGTTTCTGAAAACAATCTATATTCTCAGAAACTTCCAGATGATTGTAGAATATACATATCCTAGCCTAAAAGAAAAATTAAAGTCTGTCGGGATTTTCCATGGTTCAGAATTAAGGCACTAGTTCTTCAAAAAAAAAAAAAAAAGTCCTCAGATGATTCTATTGATGATAGAAGAAAACAGTTGGAGAGGGAACTCTAGGAAGAGGAGCCATGCGCATTTCCAGTATGTGAATTGGCAGCGATAATTCTGAGCAAAAGCAAAGTTTATAAATTTAGAAACTCCTCCTAGAAAGCTACGCAAATGTCTTGTTTTAGAGGTCAAAACATGAGAGTCAAATTTATAAAGCATCCGATTTAGGTGGGAATTATTCATGCCATACAAGATTCAGAAGCTAGAGATTTTCTGCTTGAATCACTATTTTGGGAAATACATTTAGATGGGCATCTTTTCAGCAAGCAGGCTAAAAATTAGCTTAAAGTGTTCAACACTTTCTTTTCTTACCTTCAGAACAAGAAAATAGAATCTCCTGCAGCTATGTGAATTGCCTGCTTGAATCATCTGTCTGTGAACTTAGAAGTATTCTCCAGCATTGTGCCCTTTCCCTATGTCAGTAGATACTCCTTATCTTTTTTAGCCAGAAAACCCTGGAATATGATGACATGTGGAACAAATTTCTTAAGTCAGTACACCCTAGTTGTAAATGCTGTTATTCAGTAATTATTTCAGATTCATCTCACCCATGCCTGGCCTTCTCCTTGTGATTTAAGCTTTCCGTATGCATCAAAATAATTGTATTGCTTAGAGAAACAACCATTAACTTGGTAGTTAAAAAAAACCCATGACTGAGAACTTGAATGATAAATGAAATGTGGTCAAAGAATACTATGTGATTCAGCTGTGAGCAGTATTTACATTATCATGTTAATAATGTAAATCCTAGATATTGATTTTCACCCCAAATCACTGTTTTCCATATTAGGAAAAGCATGAGTGTGGTGAGGGAGTTGTGGAAGGCATCTTCCTGTTAGAAAGTAGATAGTGAAAGCTAAAATGTAAGAAACCAGTTACAAGAGTAGGAAACAGGTAGGAGAGTTGGGGCAGTGTACTACCGGTTTATAATTTTGTTATAAACTTTAAAAACTATTTATGTTATTTTGATAAAAATAGAAGAAGTAACACAGAAATGTACAAAGATCTAAAAACTCGAATCTTCTCGTCATAGATTTCTTGGGACAGCTACTATGCTTTTGAGTTAAATATTTTACTTTAGCTTCTATATTTAAATATATTCTAATTAGAATAATATGGGTGTATCTTCTGCAGTTTGGTCCTAACAGATTGCTTAGAGCATTATATTTAAAATGGCCCATATTTTTTTTATATGTGTTGAACATTTGAAATTTAATACGAGCTCCAGCTGAGTTTATTAGCTGCAGATTACTGGAAAAATGACAACCACCGCCAACCCTGACTTTTCTCTGTTTATTATTAAAAACATTTTTTGAAAACATCTTATTTCTTCTCCCTCATCCCTGCAGGGATATCGTTATCCCTCAACAACTTTCACAGCTAGTGATTTACCAGATAACATAATGAAGTCAGTAGTAGATCCTGAAAATCTGATTTTATTAGTAGTCAGTACTCAAAACAACTACTCATAAGTAAATAACTACTCATAAGTAAACTCAAGTTTCTTGTGTTCTTCTCTTGCAGTCCTTGTTAAGTGTGGTGATAATATCCAGGAGAGGCTGTGTGTTTTGTGAGAGGAGTGGGGTTGATGTATTTGTCAGTGGGCCTTTTCCTTTGTTGTATAGCCAGCTTAGGAAACATGAAGGAGAGAGCTTTTTGGAAAGATCTTACTGATGTGTTGGTACCGCTGGAAGGAACAAAGGATAGTACACATGTGCTGTCATTTAGCTTTGTCTCTAACCAGAACTCGCCCAGGGCTGGGGTACAGGGGCAGGATCTCACCTCACTGCCACCTCCGTCCCCCATGTTTAAGTGATTCTCCCACCTTAGCCTCCCAAGTAGCTGGGATTACAGGCACGTACCACCATGCCCAGCTAATTTTTGTATTTTTAGTAGAGACAGGGTTTTACCATGTTGGCCAGGCTGGTCTCAAACTCCTGACCTCAGGTGATCCACCCACGTCAGCCTCCCAAAATGCTGGTATTACAGGCATGAGCCACCGTGACTGGCAAAGATAACTTTTTTTAGGGAAAGTTAATTGACACAACTTTTCCTAACGACAATTTGGAACCATGTGTCAAATATCTTAAGAAATTCATTATCTTTTCACCTAGCAAAATGTGTGCCCTTATTGATCCTACAAAAACAGAAAAAGATTCAAAGATGAAGATAAATGTTATCACAGTATTGGGAATAGTATTAGGATAACTTAATATCCTACTATAGGAGACTGCTTAGACTGTGGACAGCTAAACAATTGAATATTATGCACTCATGGAAAATACAGATACTGAACTAAACGCCTTAGGATAACCCTGTGTGTGTGTGTGTGTGTGTGAGTGTGTGTGTGTGTGTGTCCATCCAGCCAGAGTTGTACACACAGGCAGGTTCTCATCCTAGATATCCTCAATTTTACTGGCTTATGTCCCCTTCCTTTCTCCCTTCCTTCCCTTCTTTTTCTTTCTTCTTCCCTTCCTCCTTTTTCTCTTTCATTGTTTTTGGAGATAAGGTCTCGTTCTGTTTCCTGGGCTGATGTGTGATCATGTAATCTTAGCTTACTGTAGCCTCAGATTCCTGGGCCCAAGGATCCTTCTCCCTCAGCCTCCCAAGTAGCTGGGAATACAGGTGCACACCACCATGCCTGGCTGATTTTAACATTTATTGTAGAAATAGGTCTAACTTCATCACCCAGGCCCATCTTGAACTCTTGGTTTCAAGCACTACTCCTACCTTAGCCTCCCAAAGTGCTAGGATTACAGGCCTGAGCCACCTCACTCATACCGACTTTTACAATATATTAAGTGAGAGGAAAAAAAAGCAGATTTCATAGTAGCAGAAAATGATTATATTTTATTTGGTTTTTAAAGTTTATGTGTGTATTTTTACATGAGGGAAAGTCTAGAGGTATATAGGTGTGTGTGTGTCTATATAGGTATGTGTGTATAGATGTGTGTCTATATGTGTATACATAATTATATAACATGTATATGTGTATATGTTATATGTATGTTGTATATACCTATGTATACACATATACATATATACATACATGTTTATATATACATCTATATGTTATATAGATGTATATGTATCTATATACACATAGAGAGAGAGAGAGACATACACACCCAAAATGTTGGTGGTAGTTGCCTCTGGGTATGAGATTTCAAATCATTTAAAGTTTATTTCTTCTTTCTTGTCTCTTTTTCATTCAGTACATTTTTTTTTGTTACTTGCTTTTGAGACGGAGTCTTGCTATGTCACCCAGGCTGGAGTACAGTGGCGTGATCTCGGCTCACTGCAGCCTCTGTCTCCTAGGTTCAAGAGATTCTCCTGCCTCCGCCTCCCGAGTAGCTGAGATTACAGGTGCACGCTACCACACCTAGCTAATTTTTTATATTTTTGGTACAGATGGGGTTTCACTATGTTGGCCAGGCTGGTCTTGAACTCCTGACCTCAAGAGATCCACCCGCCTCAGCCTCCCAAAGTTCCGAGATTACAGGTGTGAGCCACCACACCCGGCTCGTTCAGTAAACATTTATTGAACTATTGCTGTAGCCAGCCATTGTATTTTCTGAAATGATAATTATTTGTACAATTATATTTGATGTTAGGAAGGATATTACAACTTTACAACTTTTTTTCATTAAATGATTAAAATAATGACTTGGTCATTAAAGTGGTGTGTTGAGTTATTTGGAAAATTCATTTACTTGCAACAGTACTCATGAAAAGTACAGAATAAAATGAAATGTTAGTGTAATATGCTGAAGCATTCAGCCCCTGTGATACCAATAGGAGAAATGTTTTTTATTTGTATGAAGCATAAGTCATCTCTATCCTAGGTGGCTGTTACGTGGGAAGAGAGATGTTGATTGGATACTCTGCATTGCTTTTATTTGACTCAAAAATAATTTACATAGCTGAAAAGAATTACTTTTCATGATGATTATCTATAGATGCATGTTTTTACCTTTTTTTTTTTTTCCCCCCAGACAACTACAAGAACAGCAACGACAAAAGGAGTTGGAGCGGGAAAGGCTGGAGAGAGAAAGAATGGAAAGAGAGAGGTTGGAGAGAGAGAGGTTAGAAAGGGAAAGGCTGGAGAGGGAGCGACTGGAACAAGAACAGCTAGAGAGAGAGACGGGAGCGGCAGAACGCCTGGAGCGGCAGGAACGCCTGGATCGGGAGAGGCAAGAAAGACAAGAACGAGAGAGGCTGGAGAGACTGGAACGGGAGAGGCAAGAAAGGGAGCGACAAGAGCAGTTAGAAAGGGAACAGCTGGAATGGGAGAGAGAGCGCAGAATAGCAAATGCTGGTAAGGAGTTCACAAACCCTTCTGTGTTCTTGTATCTGAGCTTGGATGATGTCTCTTGTGCAGCCGTGTGTTAAAATATTTCACATTTGCGATGCTTGGGATTAAGCCATACAATTCGAAATTATGAAAAATATGCAGCAATTACTACTTTAACATTTTCTTTTTGTTTCTATATTGCTTTTATTGCTTGGAGACTTAAAGCTCTTGGAAATTTTTATTCTGCCATTCTAATTATTCTAACTCCCTATAAATTGGCTATAAAGTATACGTGTGTTTTTATGGGAAATTTTTTATACTGGATGAACTTCAAATATATTTCCCACATGATATCACATAAATTGTCTCAAATACTATAGGCTATAGTACCATTCAGCAAGAAATTTGCTTGATTGCATTCTAAAGTTTTTGAAGGAAGAATTAGTAGGTGAAAAATATTCTCTAAAACTGACCAGTTATTTAAGTATGCTGTCTAGTATTATGAAAAATTAGTGAAAATTATGAAATCTGATGTTACTGAAAGACAAAAGGGTTAAGATACGGCTGAAAGTTTGAGATATTTTAACATTTATTAAAGTTAACATTCATTATAGGATTTAAGAATATTCCTTATGGCCCATATAAAAAGTCTCAATGTGGGTTTGATTAAATAGTGGTTAGTTGGTTTATTGTTTAATTTATATGTTTTTAGCTACCTAATTGTTTTCTGGAGTTATGGCCAACAAAACAAAACTTTCCCACAAATAAGCATCGAATAGGAGGTTTCTCACACTTTGTATTAAATGTTTTGCCAGTTTTACTAGTTTTGCTATTTGTTGTTTTCAAAAAAAACCTAAATTTATTCTTCTGTTTATGGTCCTATTCATGTGATTTTAATGTCCTTTTTCTTGTGGACTAAATATTAACAATTAAGACTAATACTAGCTTTTTCTTGTAAAGGATAAATTAGTCAATTAAATTTATTAATCTACTTATTAGATAAAAAGGAAACTTATCCTCTTCTGAATCTCAAAATGTATTTACAAGTTAAAATATTCTTGGGTGAAGATAGTTATTTGCATTTGTGCCTAATTCTCTGGTACTAACTGTAGTCTACATTTATACATTGTGTCTGAATGCTGGTTTTGTGGCTTCACTAGCTCCCTTTTTCTCTCTCCTTTTTTATCCTGTCTTTTGCTGCTGCTTTCCACCTTCTGTCCAGCTCCATCTTCAGACAGCTCCCTGTATAATGCTCCACTTCCTGAGTATTCCAGTTGCCAGCCTCCTTCAGCACCTCCTCCATCATACGCTAAAGTCATCTCAGCTCCAGTGTCAGATGCCACTCCTGATTATGCTGTAGTGACTGCTTTGCCACCTACTTCCACACCCCCTACACCACCACTGCGACACTCAGCGACACGTTTTGCAACATCTTTAGGTTCAGCCTTCCACCCTGTTCTTCCCCATTACGCTACAGTTCCTCGTCCTCTGAACAAAAACTCTCGACCTTCTTCTCCTGTGAACACACCCTCTTCTCAGCCTCCAGCTACGAAGCCCTGTGCCTGGTCTACTTCCAATTTTTCGCCCCTCCCTCCATCTCCTCCAATAATGATTAGCAGCCCCCCAGGCAAAGCTACTGGTCCAAGGCCTGTCCTCCCTGTTTGTGTTTCTTCTCCTGTGCCCCAAATGCCTCCATCACCGACAGCACCCAATGGGCTGGTTGACTCTGTAACATATCCAGTGTCTCCACCGCCTACCTCAGGGCCAGCAGCTCCTCCACCGCCGCCTCCACTGCCTTCCCTCGCATCACTGTCACACTGTGGATCTCAAGCTTCTCCTCCTCCAAGCACCCCTATTACCTCAACTCCCTCATCCAAGCCTAGTGTTCTCCCTTCTCCCTCTGCAGCTGCCCCTGCCTCTGTTGAGACTCCTCTAAACTCTGTGCTGGGAGACTCTTCTGCTTCTGAGCCAGGCTTGCAGGCAGCCTCTCAGCCGGCCGAGACTCCAGCCCAACAGGGTAAGGCTTTCATTATTGCTACTAACAGCAATTCACTTGAAAATGTTATATAGCAGCAACTTTAATTGCCTGAATGGATGAGTAGGATGTTTTTGATCCTTGAATATTTATATGCCATAATGCCATGGGTTTTTTTGTTTGTTTGTTTGTTTTTTTTCAATTAAAGTAGACATTTTTTTCCTGTTGGATTAATTGCATTTAGAGGAATTTTCATATTGCACTAGGTTTTGATACCTTTTGTAGTATTACAGTTAAAGATGTTTTCTAGTATTTAAGAGCCCTCATAATAAGTTTCTTTCTTTCTTTATTTTGAGACAGAGTCTTGCTGTGTTGCCCAGGCTAGAGTACAGGGGCTTAATCTCAGCTTACTGCAACCTCCACCTCCCGGTTTCCAGGGATTCTCCTCAGCCAACCAAGTAGCTGGGATTACAGGCGCATGCCACCACCCCCGGCTAATTTTTGTATTTTTAGTACAGATGGGGTTTTGCCATGTTGGATAGGCTGGTCTTGAACTCCTGACCTCATGTGATCTGCCCCAGTTGGCCTCCCAAAGTGCTGGGATTATAGGTGTGAAGCCACTGCACCCAGCCAATACATTTCTTTCACTGGGAAAACTTTGCTTGACACATTAATCTACCACACAATACGTACGTGATCTGAATTGTCTTCTTTTATTTTCTGGGAGACTTAGATATATTTAGTGCTCAACTGTACTCATTAGATACATCATCCCAGAGTTTCCTTTGGAGCAGTTCTGATCTTGGGCCCTACTTCGTTCTTGCCTTTCCTATATTAGATTCCCCATGTTGGACTTTTTCAGGATAGGTGTCACCCTAATCCTTAGAGCATTATGACTTTGCAGGAGGAGTAGAGAGGATGGCAGGCTTCATCTATGTCCTACAGGGTTCCAAGGTCCAAAATTACAGTAAGAAGTGGCCTGAGGGGTAATGGGGAACGAATAGCATCCTCTGCAGTTATTCTCCCCACCCCTACCTGTTGTTATGGTAACAGGGAAGGGAGGATGTAATCTCTAAGTGGATTATTTGTAAGTAGAAAAGGACCTGGTTCTGTAAGTAAATACGATGCTTGGCAACCCTAGTTTTTAAAAATAAGATTTAAGGAGGATTGCAGAAAGAAAGCTGAAAACAAATTTGTACTTAAACATTGCAAGGCTTGTTATTGCTGTATATATATTTTTGTTGCTGTTGTTGACTTATCAAATTTGCTTAAAAGGTGAGTCAGAATTCTAAAATGTCCAATTTGGATTCACCATGACAAAAAATGGGCACAGCTAGCTGACAAAGTGACCTGCCGTACCCTCAGAACTCTAATAACCCCTACAGAAGGGACAACCTATTTCTAGATGCTTCTTTGAACAATTGATGTTTTCTGCTTGTGTAAGGGCTCAAGCTGAAAAAGTTAGCATTTACCACCCAGTATGCAAAATAGCATTTTATTCGTTCTGAAAACACCCTTTTTAAACCTTAACAAAAGGAGCACCTACTATTTCAGTATTCTGTTATTAAATAAATTCTTGTTCACTCTGATTTTATAAGAATTGAACATTTCTCTTCTTGCTCCCCATCTTGTGGGTTAAAACAACTCTGTACTTCAAATTCTATGGTATTTAGTTATTTCTGAGTGTTATTTTGAGGTTTTACTTTGTACTAGTAAACTCCTTTACTTCATTGCTTCTCAACCTTGCCTATGCATTAAATTTAAATGTGAAGTTTTTAAAAAAAATACTGCAGGCTGGGATTTACTCCTCCTTCATGTTTTTAATCCAGCCACTTTAACTGTAAACAACTAAATATATGTGTTCACTATTACTGAATTTACTGTCTTAGCACTTAAGGTTAATGTGGATTATTTTGGGTCTGTTGTTTCAAGTAGTACTAACTGCCATCATATATACTAGCTTGTTTTTTCAGGGATGCTTACCTCTCCCAAATTTTATAGGTATTTATTTTGTTTATATACCACAACCCCATGAAAAAAAAATCTTAATTAGATATCTGTTGCCTCATTCTGTTAATAAAGCTCTAATATTAAAGTAGTTATGTACACTTGGAACTTCCTTACATTTCAGTATCTTTCAAAAACTGATCTAGACTTTTACAACTATGATAAATTGAACTCATTAAGTAAATACGTGTGTCAATTTAATTTAGCATGGGACTCTCTGTACCTTCCCACATAAAATAATTTCACCCAGCTATATTTTTGATGGTCTGACTTTGCATTTTTCTCTCTCAGGCCTTGTCTTGGGAGCAGTTGCACCTCCACCTCCTCCACCACTCCCACCAGGGCCTGCACAGGCTTCAGTAGTACTCCCTCCTCCCCCAGGGCCCCCTCCACCTCCTCCACTCCCATCCACTGGGCCTCCACCACCCCCTCCTCCCCCTCCTCTCCCTAATCAAGTACCCCCTCCTCCTCCACCACCTCCTGCCCCTCCCCTCCCTGCATCTGGATTCTTTTCGGGATCCATGTCAGAAGACAATCGCCCATTAACTGGACTTGCAGCTGCAATTGCCGGAGCAAAACTTAGGAAAGTGTCACGGGTAAATACATTTCTGAGGTTTTTTTTTTTTAATGTCTTATTCTTTCTAAATATCTAAAATATTGACTTTATTGTATTCTAATTTTATGAACTGTTAGGAACTTCATTGATTTAAAAAATGGAAATAATTTACCCAGGTGCAGTGTATGATCCCTGAATTTTGGGAAGCTGAGGTGAGCAGATCACCTGAGGTCAGGAGTTTGAGACCAGGCTGGCCAACATGATGAAACTCTATCTCACTAAAAATACAAAAATTAGCCAGTTATGGTGGTGCATGCCTATAATCCCAGCTGCTCTGGAAACTGAGGCAGGAGAATCACTTGAACCTGGGAGATAGAGGTTGCAGTGAGCTGAGATCCTGCCATTAACAGAATGAGACATCGTCTCAAAAAATAAATTAAAAACTGAAATAATTTAAATTTATAGTAAAGTTGCAAGAATAGTATAAATAGTTTCTATAATTTCATCACCTAGATTTACCCATTAACATTTTACCAGTATTTGCTTTATTATTCCTTCTTTGGCTATGCTTCCTTCATTACACATGCACTTTATTTGTTTCTTTGTTTGTTTATTTTTGAGACACAGTTTCACTACTGTTGCCCAGGCTGGAGTGCAATGGCACTATCTCAGCTCACTGAAACCTCTACCTCCTGGGTTCCAGTGATTCTGCCTCAGCCTCCTTAATAGCTGGGATTACAGGCGCCTACTACCATGCCCTGCTAATTTTTGTAGTTTTAGTAGAGACAGGGTTTCTGCAGTGTTGACCAGGCTGGTCTTGAAATCCTGACCTCAGGTGATCCTCTTGCCTCAGCCTCCCAAAGTGCTAGGATTACAGGTGTGAGCCACTGTGTCCTGTCTACACGTGTAATTTTGTTTGAATGATTTTCGAGTAACTCAGAGACATCAGGCCTCTATTTTCTTTCTTTTTTTTGAGACATAGTCTTGCTCTATCGCCCAGGCTGGAGTGCAGTGGCGCAGTCTCGGCTCACTGCAACCTCCACCTCCTGGGTTCAAGCAATTCTCCTGCCTCAGCCTCCCAAGCAGCTGGGACTACAGGCGCACACCACCACACCCAGCTAACTTTTTGTATTTTTTTTTAGTAGAGACGGGGTTTTACCATATTGGCCAGGCTGGTCTCAAACCCCTGACCTTGTGATCCACTCACCTCAGCCTCACAAAGTGCTGGGATTAAAGGCATGAGCCACCAAGCCCAGCCCAGGCTTCTATTTTCTAAGTACTTTAGTGTGAATTAACATTGGTAAAATACTGTAATCTACAGATGTATCATATTCAAATTTCATCTAGTGCAGGATCATTTATTGCATTTAGTTATAATGTCTCTTGGATATACTTTATGACAATTTCTCAATCTTCTGTAATACTGGCATTTTTGAAGACTGTAGTAGTTATTTTGCCTGTTATCCTTCAGTTGGTTTATCTGATTTTTCTTCAAGATTAGATTCAAGTTATGCAGGGATTGTTTTAGCAGGAATATTATCAAAGTAAAGTTCTGCCCTTTTTAGGGCAACACTGGAAGAGACACATGATATTGTTTAATCAAATTCTCAGTGATACTAGTTTTGATAAACTCTTGTTGATATATAAAGTCAATGATATATAAAGAATCTATTGATTCTTAAGGCTTAAAAAATAATATTTAGGTTTTTAAAATTAATGCTGATGTTTCCTTCTGTTTTAAATGTAATATATTAATAAAAATATGGTTGTCTAACATAGGAGTTGATTATGTCTGTGTATTCTCATTAAGATGGAGGATGCCTCTTTCCCAAGTGGAGGGAATGCTATTGGTGTGAACTCAGCCTCATCTAAAACAGATACAGGCCGTGGAAATGGACCCCTTCCTTTAGGGGGTAGTGGTTTAATGGAAGAAATGAGCGCCCTGCTGGCCAGGAGGTAAGGAATTTCATTATAGTGGACATGCCCAGGGATTGAGAGGATTTTAATTTTATTCCCAATACAACTGACTAGATGCCATTCTTCCCTCGTGGTGAAGTAATTTTTATACTGCGTCAGATGATATTTTTAAAAATTGGATTTGCGTTCTTTGTAGGAGAAGAATTGCTGAAAAGGGATCAACAATAGAAACAGAACAAAAAGAGGACAAAGGTGTAAGTTAATAGTCTCCCATACCTTAAAATGTGGAATTCAAGCACAGCTCATCAGGAAATGGTGTCAGCGTTTATTTAATTTGGACTTCATTAGTTTGAACTTATATTTGCTAATCTTTATGCATGTGAAGTGACTTGTTTTGACTATTATTTATGGATTTTTAATAGCAGTTTTTTTGTTTTTGTTTTTGTTTTTTGAGACGAAGTTTCGCTCTTGTTACCCAGGCTGGAGTGCAATGGCGCGATCTCGGCTCACCGCAACCTCCACCTCCTGGGTTCGGGCAATTCTCCTGCCTCAGCCTCCTGAGTAGCTGGGATTACAGGCACGCGCCACCATGCCCAGCTATTTTTTTGTATTTTTAGTAGAGACGGGGTTTCACCATGTTGACCAGGATGGTCTCAATCTCTCGACCTCGTGATCCACCCGCTTCGGCCTCCCAAAGTGCTGGGATTACAAGCTTGAGCCACCGCGCCCAGCCTAATAGCAGTTTTAGTAAAATCAATCGACTGTGGAGTTGTGGGGAAAGCACTGAAGTTCAAACCTATAGAGTTTAATTCTATTCCTTAAATGAGTGAATAACATTTCACTACTTTTTTTTTTTTTAATCTCTTAGAATCTCAGTTCCCTTGCATTAATTTAAAATGAAGGAATTAGCCCAAATTAGTATGTTTCCCTTAGGAGTTCAGTGGTTATTGGCTGTGCCCCTTAAGAGTGTGACCTTCATGCCCTCCTCCCTGATTGAGCTGGGCAAACTCTGCTTTGTCTGTGCTGTATATTGGTGTGCAGCAAATGTGTTTCCCCTGCTCCATTTGGCCACCTTTGTTGCCATTCCTCAAATCTGTCTCTCGCGTCTGGCTTTGTAGCCTTGGCCTAGTGCAAGTTCTTAGTGAGAACACACGAGAAAAGGAGCTGTGGGGAGGGCGAAAGGGGAGGTGGTTGAAGGCAGAAGGAAGAAGTCTAAGATGAAAAGAAAGGGAGAGAAGACCAATGAAAGATAAAGTGGGGAGTGGCAGAAAGAGTATTAGAAGTGGACGTGTAACACACTAAATGTATATAGAGCAAGTTACTAGTAGATGTGATATTAATATGTATCTGTGTATTTAGGAAGATTCAGAGCCTGTAACTTCTAAAGTCTCTTCAACAAGTACACCTGGTAAGTTCAAGATAAATATGTTAACCTTTATAAATTTTCTCTAAATATTAATACTCCCCAGTTAAAAATTCCCCCTTTGTCCATATTTGAACCAAGTCACTGGACACTAAAATGCCAGAGTTTTTTGTTTACACCCAAAAGCATTAACTTTTTTACTCCTGGAAGCTTCCGTCTTTCTTGAAGTTACTTACTAAAACAAGGAAAATATTAATATACTATTAGATTACAGGGGAGAAATTTTCATAATTGATTGCTAAAGGTAAAAATTAAGTGAGCATTATAGCTAGTACTGCAGTTTCTTTCCGAACATTCTTAAATTGAGAAGGGTGTCATTCTAGCCATTCGTTGGGGTTATATTGATAGTTAAGGGAATAAAACTTCTGGTTTGTAAGCTTAAAAGAATCTCCTTAAATTTTTTGGGAAGTGTTCTTGAATTCATTGAAATTTCTGACGTTGAGTATTCTTGAGCATCCAGTAAATTACCTAAAATATTAACAAAGTATATTTCACTAGAGGTACTTGATGAATACTGTATCCAAGATGAGAATACGAACTCATTACATAGTCACATGTCATTTCTTCATATTTGATTAAAGACTAAGGGCTGGACTATCTATTCAGCTCCTTATCTATTCTGGAATGATGCGACAAATAAACTTGATAAGTTAATATCTAGAATGGTCCATAGGAAACCATTATTGAGAAATGCTCATATTCCTACAGTTTTGATTTAAAGACAACCTGCTACTTCTACAATTCCCTTTTTAATTTTTATTTATTTATTTTTGAGATGGGGTCTCACTCTGTTGACCAGGCTGGAGTGCCATGGCACAATCTTGGCTCACTGCAACCTCTACCTCCTAGGCTAAAGTGATCCTCCCACCTGACCCCCAGCAGCCCCCAAGTAGCTATACTTCAGTTTTTGTTTTTGTGATTGTAATCTGTCTTCCCACCCCCTCAATTGCTCATTCTCGTTATTGAACAGTGACTCTTCAGTAGTCTGATTGCTGTATCATAATTAACATCATGACTTCGTTTTCCTTCTGAATAGGACTCGGTTTATGTTATTTTCATTAACAGTTCACAGGTTTGTGAGTCACTTATTTTAGGTTTATCCTCCTTTGTATAAGCCAGAATTAATTATATATGCTGTCATTAGTAACACATAGATATTGTAAATCCAAACTGTACTTCAGGGTCACAGAACCTTTAGAAATAGCTATAGATCCTCTTTCCAGGGAGGAAAATTGTATTTTTATACAAATTTGTTCATAATTTCAGAATATTCATGAATTTCTTAAAGGTTATCCATGGACTCCAAATTAAAAATTTCTTATCTAATATATAATCCCTTACATAAAATATGAAAAACTAAAGCACAGTATTTTTGTGTGTGCTATGTATATAAAATCAAGTATTCATTTCAGAGGGCAAGGCCTCTTTTGTCACTTGTTTCATTCTGTTTTTAAATTGACATGGTGTCAAACACCTGAAGTGAAAGGTAAAGTCCTGAGTGCAAAAAACTCATCATCCATCTGGGAAGATGAGACACACAGGTGTAAAGTTTACCTTTTACAGCCACGTGTTGAATACTCAGTAGTTTGTCAAAGACGGAGGAGATGACACATAGTAGTCTCCTGAGTCATCTTTGTAGTGAAAAGTGACATCTTAATATGGCTTGAAGAGTATTTAGTTTGACTGAAAGTGAGGAAAGGTGTGATATTTCAGATTGTGGTAAGTATAGCATGAGCAAAGGTATGGAGTTAGAGATGAGCAAGAAGACGTTAGGAAATAGTGAATAGACTAGAACGGGGAATTCTTTTTCAGGAATATTGGGGGGGAAAGGTTGGAAATGTAAGTTAGAAACAAAAATGTTGAGAGCCTTTTATAAAATGATCAAGAGTTTAGACTTTATCCTGCAAGTATTGAGTTGACATTTAATTCACTGAAACTGTTTGAGGCACATTAAAATAGCACTTGTGATTTTCCCATTGAAACTAGGGAGGACTGAGATAGGCAGACCGTTAGGAAGCTCTGTACACGTGCCAGTAAAGATCCTCTGAAGGGAACCCAGCCCCTGTCTCTCCTGAAATACACCTGAGCTCCTTAGAGAGCAGAGGGCCTTACTTCTCAGCGTCCACAAAGCTCTTCCTCACAACCAGATGAGCGCTTTATAAGACTAAAAGATGGTTCTGGTTTGCTGATTGAGAAAGGACCTCAGTCAGCTGTTAAAAGGTGGCACTTGCTACATCTTCTCCACTTTGGAATTACTCTCTCATCCTTCCACCTGCTTCCTCTTTAGTGACAGTGCCCTGATGACCAGTCCCCCTCCCTGTCCAGGTGTCCCTCAGTTTCAGTCAGGTCTTCCCTCTTTTCACCTGCTTGGGCTGGTGTCAGTTGGATGTTTCTGATTCTGTCTGTCCCAAATCCCATCCGATTATTTGGTCTTCCCAGCCAAGTGTGGAACTTGCCACCACTGTGGTGGTCATTGAGAGTTTGTGTTCGCTGTTAGAATACAAAAGAAGGAATATAAAAAGGAAGGAATTTGACTGGTTGATAAGGAGTAAAGCAAGATCAATAATGACTTTAAGATTTCACACCTAATGCCTGCATGCAACAGAAATCCAGAATCAATAGCAGGGCTTCATGGAAGAGTGTGAGTTTATTTTTGCGTAAGTGTACTTTGAAGAGACCATAAACTATCTAAGTGAGAATGTGCAAAAGCCAGTTCGAGGAGCTGCATTGGAACTCAGAGCAGTTTAAGTAAAAACTATACAGTGAGACCACAACTCATAATAGACTTCATTCTCATGTGGCCCAAATTCTTTCCTCCATGATAAGATTCCGCTTCTGATTTTACCCAGTTAGGGAGGTCAGTGACAGCATCAGTGAGTCAGCCCAGATTAGAAAAACAATTCAATTCAAACACAATAGACAGTCAACTAGTGAGTCACTCACTACATAGTGTCTTTTGTAATAAGAGCTCAGAGCAGACTTGTTTATATTTAACTGGAGTTATCTGCTAAGTCCCAAGAATCGATTGTTTAAGAGTCAAGGAAGTGCAATAGAATTTCAGGATTCTGAAATTTATTTTGAGTTGTTCCTTTTTTTTCCCCAAGAGGCACTATTTGAATTTAGATTAAATGTTGAAATACATGAACATATTATAAATTACACTTACTGTTTTTATCATTGGTACTAAAAACAGTTTAAAATAGTGTCAGTAATACTATCCCATTTTAATTGAACAGTACTAATTTAAAAATTATCCTACTTTATTCTTACTATTCTTTCTTAGGGAAACTCCTTACCATCCAGTTTATAGAATTATAATATTTTAGACTTAACAATGTAAGTTTTTCCTAGGAAACTTACCATACTAGCTTAATAATTTCTTCTCATTTTAAGGTCTGGGATTGTGCAAATTAGAATCCTTACAGATTTCAATTAAAGTTTAGAATTTAAATTTTTATTTCTATTACTACTATGTAAATAGGCATAATGATATTTAGTATTCTGTTATTTGTTTTATAACTCTGGAAGCATATATTTAATAACTTTTGTTCTTCATTTTTAAAGAACCAACAAGAAAACCTTGGGAAAGAACAAATACAATGAATGGCAGCAAGTCACCTGTTATCTCCAGGTATCAATTTTTTTCTCTAAGTTTTATATTTTATTTGTATAAAAAAATTAATACATTCTTATTGTAGAAAAAAATTGAATGGTAAGTTAGAAATTATACAGAAGAGCCTATAAAACTCTTCGTGATTCGATTGGACAGCCCACTGAGCTTCATTATATCTTACTCATCTATGTTACTAGTGGTTGATAAATTCTACCCTACATTAGCCGTATTATCTGAGATTTTAAGATAGCTTTATCTTTCCCAATTTGTATTCTGAAAAATTCAAAACTACAGAAAAAAGGATAGTATAGTGAATACGCGTGTACTCATTTCCTAGGGTTAACAGTTGTCAACATTTTGCCCCACTTGTCTTAACTATCTACAGATCCACTCTTTCATTCCCCTCTGATTAGTTTGAAAGTGGTTCACAAATAAGAACTGCTTCACCCTAAATACGTCAGTGCCTTTTGGAAGAACCAGGACATCTGCTATGTAACCAAAATACCATTATTACTCTTAAGAAATTTAACATTGAACAATAATATTATCTAATATAGTAAACAGTCACATTTCCCCATTAGTCCAATTAACATAGATTTTTTTTTTTTTCCTAAATGTAATTTTTGGAACCTTTTTAAAACCTGAAAATCAGCTGGAGAGAAAAGAGCAAAATGAAACCTAAAACTTTGAATTTGTAAAGTAGGAAACATGTTATTTCCCTGTCTCGTTTGAAACTTAAGTGTAATCAAGTTAGAAAAGATAGTATCCAGAAACGAAGTTACTCAATCCTTGTTTCTACAAGTGCTTATGGACATAGTTTAGGCAAGTTTGTTCTTCCTTTAGCTAGGTATACTTTATTTTCATAACTAAATTTATATCACAGCTCTTAAACATAGATTAAAACTTTTCTTGGTTTAAGAGACAGTTTAAAGAAAGGGCTTATATTTTTCCCAGAAAAAAAACCTATGTATTTAGAAACGAAAAGGTATTTTGTCTTTTCTTTCTCAGCTATTTGCCTTGTTTTTGACTCTATATAAAAAGCAACTTGACTCTAATTATAGAAACCTAATAAAGATAAGTACAAGGATAGACTTTATATTATCACAGACCTACTCTGTTAATCTAAATTTGGATTTGGCTTTCTGTTTGGTTCTTTCTGCTAATAGGAAAGAAGATGACATGATTGTTTAAGCTCCGCAAAGAAACTAGGCCTTTTGGAATGTATAAAAGCTTTTAGTTTTTAAGTGATTGAAAGATGATCATATTTGACTTTAGAAGAAAGAAGAGAATTGCTTTTGGTGGGCATGTGTTTTCAGTAGAGTAGAAAAATTACACATTTATGTTTCTCAGACTCCTGAGATGGCCTTCTAACACATCTCTACTAAGAAAGTTACGGACTTACTTTAGTAGCACATTATGAAGTGTTGATTTATCAAGCCCATAACAAGGAGCTGGCCAGGCATAGTGGCTCATGTCCTGTAATCCCAGTACTTTGGGAGGCCAAGGTGGGTAGATCACTTGAGGTCAGGAATTGAAGACCAGTTTGACCAACATGATGAAACCCCATCTCTACTAAAAATACAAAAATTAGCTGAGCGTGGTGCCACATACCTATAATCCCAGCTGCTTGGGAGACTGAGACATGAGAATCACTTGTGCCTCAGAGATGAGGATTGCAGTAGACTAATAATCACTGCTGTTGCACTCCAGTCTGCAGACCTGTCATGCGTCATTTGTCCTTTCTCTTTATCCCTGCTCCATTGATCTACATTCCATAGTAAGCTAAAGCCAAGCCTGCGTTGATGGCAGAAGTCATGTCTTAGAAGGGACATAGAAGACATTCTCCAAGTGGAATACATTCTTTGATGTATTTGGTCCATTTAGTAAAGGAAAAGTCATTATTTGAAAGATTTTTTTTATTTTTCCTAACTCCAGGAGGTAGGGATTTTTTTTCCCCAGACTTCTAAAGGAAATTTAGTAAGTGCTCTAAAGGTCACCATTTTGAAAATAATTTTTTATAGATTAGTTGAATCTTGAATCTTAATATCCAGTAGTGCACTGTAATCATATTCCAATTCTGTTGGGTGGTTTTCCTTTCCCAGAATAGAAATTCTTAAACTCCTGATTATTTCCTGACCACTCATGTATTTTTTGATAGATTTCATTCAACTGATACATAGGTTATAAAATTTCACCGAAACCTATATAGGTTTTAAAATTTCACCAAAACCTGTTTTAAACCATAGAATACTTTAAAAATATGTTTAAAAGAGTAAGAACGATACTACTTTCCTTCCTAATTTATCTCCCCTACCCCTTCAGAAAGCAAGTATTTTAGCCTCTTTAAGTATGCCTCATCCTTGCATTGTAGTGAAGGTGCCCATTTCTCTTTGGAATATCTTTGACAAAATTATGTTAGTGGTAAGATGGATTAATGTCTCATATGTGAGATACTGCATATGCTGTATTTGTTAATTGATGATGTCAGAGTAAAACCAGGAATGTTGTGGTTAAAAATGCTTTAAACTGTGGCTGGATTAAAACATTTGGAAGGTTTGTGAATTCGTCTGTGGTTTTTAAGACCTTACAGATCTGGTATTCAGGATGAGGAAAAATAGTCCTTTACATGCCTCCTGAGAAAAGTTAATTTCATATAATTTTATATACTTACTGTGCCTACAGCCTATAAAAAGTAGCCATTATATAGTGATTTTTGAAATTTTCTATAACTAGTCTCAAAATATCTTTTCTGTTGGGGAAAATCGGTTATTTTAAGGTTAATAGACTAAATTCTTGTTTTGTTTGCTATTAACAACCTATAAAACAGTAACATGATGAGGATTATTTTTTAAAGTTCTATTGTGTATCCCTTTCAATGGTTTTCCCCTTCATAGACGGGATTCTCCAAGGAAAAATCAGATTGTTTTTGACAACAGGTCCTATGATTCATTACACAGGTATCATCCTGCTGTGACGTTGTGATTTGAGACTTTTAAATAACATGTTCAGGATAGGGCTGAGCTTTTTCTACCTGGATTGGTAATCACCACAAAGGAGTTTTTGTGTGTTTTTTTTAAACTTTATTTTGAATACCTTTTAAAAATTCTGCCATCACTTTACAGATGGATTAGGATAAATACAAAATGGTAAACATAGTAGAAATACTAGACTGGGAATCTAAGGCCACATATATTATCTAGGCCATTTGTAGCTTAAGCATTTTCTTTTAAAAGCTATTCTCTTTATGATTATAAGCCGAGGTTTCAAAAAACTGGAATAGAAGATCCTTTTCCATCTGTTACTGGAACACGGGCTGATACTATAGCCACGGTTGTGGATAATTGATTCTTTGAGGAAAATCTCCGTTTCCTAGATACTTTGTAGTAAATTATCTTCGACAATTTAATATCCAGCATCCTGAGTAGAATTGTTTTCTAGGATGAGCCCCATTTTTTAATTAAGAAGACTTAAGATATGAACTAGGTTTTTCTTAATTAAAAAAAATTGACAGCTAAAAAAAAATCTTCATGCTTTCCAGTTACTTACACAATTAATTTGGCAGAATAGGGACTTAAATATAGTAGTACAATTATTTTGTAGGCAGATAAAAGACAACACTCTCATCATAAAAAAAAAAAACTGGCCCAGCATGGTGGTTCACACCTGTAATCTTGGCACCTTGGGAGGCCAAGGCTAGAGGATTATTTGGGGTCAGGAGTTCAAGACCAGCCTGGGAAACATAGCAATACCCCATCTTTACGAAAAATTTAAAAATAAGCTGGATCTGGTGGCTTCTATCTATAGTCCCAGCTGGTCAGGAGGCTAAGACAGAAAGATATCTTGTACATAGGAGTTACAGGCTTCAGTGAGCCATGATCACACGACTGCACCCTAGCCTGGGTGACAGTGAGACCCTCTCTAAAAAAAAGTAAAATAAAAACCTGAGAAACCCTCATTTGTTGATCAGTTATGATGAAAACCCATAGATAAGAAATAACTGAAATACATCTTTGTTATATGCATCTATTTTTTATACATTAAGTCCACTGTGAATATTAATTAAATGGTGTTTGTAGTGGATGTCTATCACAGTGAGTTGGGAGTTCTGTAAGCAGACTTTGGCCAAATTCTTACTTGCTAAAATTATTTTTATGCCATTAATGATCAAAATACTTGACAAGTTAATATTGTCAGCCAGTTAAATCTTCACAAAACTTTTAAATTTCAATGGTAAAATAGTTTTTTCTGCTTTTTCTTTCCTTTGAGGTGGTTTAATTATTTTGGCTAAAAGATTTTTTTAGAAAATTTGCTAGTACATAGAGAAATAACATTTAACAATGAGATTTTTAAGGCTGGGTGCCATGGCTCATGATTGTAATTCCAGCTCTTCAGGAGGCCAGAGAGGGAGGATCACTTGAGTCCAGGAGTTTGAGACTAGTCTAGGCAATGTTGTTAAACCCGTCTCTACAAAACATACAAAAAGTAGCCAGCCATAGTTGCATGTGTTTTTGGGAGGCTGAGGTGGGAAGATGGCTTGAGCCCAGGAGGTCAAGGCTTCAGCGAGCTGAGATCATGTCACCACACTCCAACCTGGGTGACAGAGTGAGACCCTGTGTCCAAAAATATATATATTTTTTAAATGTAGTAAAATCTGCTCAGTTATCTTGCTGCTTTCACACATAGTGCCCACTGGGGTGTTATTGATAAATGTTTTTGGTAAAAGTGAAGAAAAAAAGTGGTGATTACATCTTTCCTTCAGTATGAAAAGTTCCCCCCTTTAGTTAATTATCATGGTGGTGGTGGTGATGGATTGCATGTTAGCATGAATTAAATTTTTTAAAAATTGCATGTTTCCACAATTGTTTATTATATAACAGATTTTTGCATTGCCTAATAAATATGGATATATTCATAACATACTTGCCCAATTAAATATCAGACTATAGTTGTTCATGTGAATTTCAGAGTTATTCATTATATAACTTGAGAAAATAGTTAAATGATCCACTTAAATGGAAATCGTAAGAGAAAAGCAGAGTAATTATAAATTATAGTTTAATTCTTGAGAATAGGAATAGGTAGCATGAGTGAGTATATGAAATAATGGTGTCCTAACCTTTAAGAACATTTACCAGACATGACTCTGCATAGGGCACCATGACTTGCATTTTATGGATCTCAGTAAATGACCTTGGAATTTAGTAGTCTTCCTTAGCAAAGTAAGAAGGTATATCCTCAGGAGATGAAAGGAAATGTTTCATATAAATCTTATTCCTTACAAGTGTCTAGCTCAGTGTTTATTGAATGAAATTTTCTGAAAGTCATTATTTCCCCCATTCATATAAACAGATACCTAATAAAGTAAAGTTGGATGGCTTGCTTCATAACAGTCTTTTAAGCAGTAATATGTTTTGATAGTAAAACAGATTAACAGTGCAGGCACGGTGGCTCACACCTGTAATCTCAGCACTTTGGGAGGCTGAAGCGGGCAGATCATGAAGTGAGGAGTTTGAGACCAGCCTGGCCAACATGGTGAAACCCCGTCTACTAAAAATACAAAAAATTAGCCAGGATTGGTGGCAAACCTGCAATCACAACTACTCCAGAGGCTGAGGCAGTAGAATTGCTTGAACCCAGGAGGTGGAGGTTGCAGTGAGCCGAGATTGCACCACTGCACTCCAGCCTGGGCAACAGAGCAAGACTGCGTCTCAGAAACAACAACAGCAACACAGGAAAAAAGCAGATTAACTCAGAGTTTAATCTTCAGGAACCATGCTTACGGGTTTGAAGTATTTTGTGTCTTTTACAAGAATTATGAAATTATGATTTTGAAAAATTTATTATGCCTCTTGGGTCCTGATTTAGATTTCTAATGTTGACACGCTGCAAAATTAGAAATATGTGATTTGCCTGATGGTTTTAAATTGTATTGATTTGTGGCTTATAAAGAAGAGAGGGCACTTACCGTACTCAACCAGAACTCAAAGGAGTGCCCAGTTAAAACTGTAGGTTTTCCACTGAGGATTCTCTTTTATTGCCAGAATTGGAGAGGGTACCATGACTGGTTTATTTGGTTTTGAAACTTTTGTTCAAAATATACCCAATCATTGACTTATTAAGACTTTTAATAGAAACTAAACTTTTGAAAGTGCAATGACAGTTGACAGTCTACTTCTGTCTGGCATTTCTTTTTTATTTAATAAAATAAATTTATGTAAGTAGTTAGTGTGAAACACCATTCAAATGACATCTCCATAAAAATTTCACAAGGAAATAGTCATATAGTCTACCCTAATAATCATTTTAAAACATTTTTGTTTTGATGCTTGAAATGGAATAAATGTATAAAGCAAATTATGCTCACTAAAAATGTTTTCTTTCTGCAATCCAAGGCATCAACTTTGTAAGCTGATTTATGTCAGTGTAAAACATGCAAGTCTTTATGTTTCTCCTTTCACTAGTTTGCCCAGGTATTTAAATAGATAATGTAAAAATTCAAAAGAAAGACAAAACAAGATTGTGTTTTTGAGCCTCAGATGTTTCAGCTGGCCTCCTCATCACTGTCTTGGTCAATGTGCCACGTTATCTGGTTACCTCATAATACCGTCTTCTACTCTTTTCTGAAGAAGTCTCACCATCTTGTCACCTTTTTCTAGTTCCTTTATAAATAAGAAAATACTGAGAAAAGTGACAAATAATTGTTTTCTGTTCTAATCAACCGTACAATTTTGGTAATTTTTTTAACCAAATGGCTTTTTTAAAGAAATGTTTTTAAATCTGGTGTTGGGTTGGTAAATTTGCAATTATTTATGAACCCATTAAGTATTAAGAATGTTGTTTACCTGTCCTGGAAATTTCATTTATACAGACCAAAATCCACACCCTTATCACAGCCCAGTGCCAATGGAGTCCAGACGGAAGGACTTGACTACGACAGGCTGAAGCAGGTGGGTGCTCAGTGGCAGCTTTCTTTTATTTGTATTTGTTTCTTTTTTAAAAATATCCTATCCAGACAAGGTAGCTCATGCCTGTAATCCCAGCACTTTGGGAGACCAAGGTGGACAGATCGCAAGGTCAGGAGTTTGAGATCAGCCTGGCCAACATGGTGAAACCCCGTCTCTGCTAAAAACACAAAAAATTAGCTGGGCGTGGTGCCACACACCATTATTCCCAGCTACTTGGGAGGCTGAAGCAGGGGAATCACTTGAACCGGGAGGTGGAGGTTGCAGTAAGCCGAGACCCGCCAGTGCACTTCAGCCTGGGCAACAGAGCGAGACTCTGTGTCAAAAACAAAAAACGAAAAATATGTATCCTGAATATACTTGAAAAGAGCGTAGAGCTAGAATATAGTTATATAAAACAGTGGTATTGGTACTGTATTATTTTTTGAAATCTACACTTTCACTTCCATGAGTTTGCATGAAGTTTCAGAGGTAGTGGAGGGTGGGGCTGTGGTTCAGTGTTAACAGTATAAAGTTTAAATGTAAGTGTATGGTATGCAGTTGTGAAGAAAATAATGGGCTTCTTCCTTTTCACTTACTATATTGGCAAAATTGGACCCAACAAATCTGATTTTGGCAAGGTTGCAAGGAAATAGGCACTCTTCTGTATACTTCTGCTTTCTAAAAAGCAGTTTGGGAAAACAGAATCAAAAGCCTGAAAAATAAATTACCTTGAACTCAGTGATTTGAATTTTAGGAATTTATTCAAAGAATATATTGTAAAAGTACCTGAATAAATAGTGGGTGGGGTAGGGGCTCTGTAGGCTTCAAGGGATCATAATTTAGTATGCTTAATAGTAAATTGCGAACACTTGCTTGTCTTAGGTGTAATAGGTAACAAACAAATGTGTACAGTTATCTTGATTTTATAAAAAAGAAAAAGATACTGTCCACATTTTGATACATATGCATTATATTTAATACCTGTGTATTCAGGGAAAAGAAATAAGTGATAAGATTGTGATTTGAAATATTTTATTCACAGAAGAGGTGAAATATGTTTTTTACGTACCCCGAATGCTTATACTGCAAAGCTATTTGAAGAATTAAATTGAGTTATATTAGTTTTAAAGGGGAGCATGTGGTCATTGAAAATCAAGCCCTTGTTTTACTGTACATGGAATATGGCTTTCTCGAAAAATGTTTTAAAATAAAGCACTTTCACACACTTGAAAACATGGTCAATTCTTGGTTATCTGAAGTATTGGTGGAGAACAGAGGAATAGATTTAATTTTGGGGGTGCTTTAAAGACGACTTTGGATCAGGACATCTGTGAGTCTGTTTAATAACTTCTGGGTCTCATTCTCTTCCTTTGCTAAAATGAAGACATTAAACTAATTGATAGTTTTATTTTAAATGTGAAAAGCTTTTCAAAAGATAAACTCTAACAGAGCAATTTAATTTTTCCTGGGGTATTCAGTATTAAAGAAAGCCACACAATTCAAAACTAATCCTTCCAAAGGACAGCTGTTATTTTTCACCCATTAAAATTGTGTCAATTTGTCATAGGACCTCTAACCTTGAATCTGTAGTTTTTTTTGTTTGTTTGTTTTGTTTTTAAGATGGTGTCTTGTTCTGTCACCAGGCTGGAGTACAGTGGAGTGATCTCGGCTCACTGCAACCTCCGCCTCCTGGATTCAAGCAATTCTGCCTCAGCCTCCTGAGTAGCTGGGATTGCATCTTGAGTAGCCTGCCACCACGCCTGGCTAATTTTTGTATTTTTAGTAGATACAGGGATTCACTATGTTGGCCAGGCTGGTCTCAAACTCCAAACTCCTGACCTCGTGATCCGCTGCTGAGGCCTCCCAAAGTTCTGGGATTACAGGCTTAAGCTACAATGCTCTGCGTTTTTGTTTTGTTTTGTTTTGTTTTTTGGAGACAGAGTCTCACTCTGCCCCCCAGGCTGGAGTGCAGTGGTGCAATCTCGGCTCACTGTAGCCTCCGCCTCCCGGGTTGAAGTGATTCTCCTGCCTTAGCCTCCTGAGTAGTTGGAATTACAGGTGTGCACCACCACGCCCGGCTAACTTTTGTAATTTTAGTAGAGACGGGGTTTTACCATGTTGGCCAGGGTGGTCTCAAACTCCTGACCTCAAGTGATCTGCCTACCTTGGCCTTCCAAACTGCTGGGATTGTAGGCATGAGCCACGACACCCAGCCAAATCTGCAGTTCTTGAAGAGGGCCCAGAGCACCAGAGTTAAATAGAAATATAATATGGGCTACATATTTTTTAAATTTGTCCTAGTAGCCACATTTAAAAAATACAAAACAAAAGGACAAAGTTAATTTTAAAACTTTACTAACAATGTATTTAAAGTATGTTTTAATATGTAGTCAATTTTTATAAATTATTGAGTTATTTTACATTATTTTCATCACTACTAAATCTTTGAAATATGTGTGTTTTATAATTACAGCACACCTCATTTCAGATTAGCCTTATTTCAAGGGCTCAGCAGCTGCATGTGGCCTGCTGTATTGGACAGCATGAGTCAACCAGGGCCTCATCCACCTTCCTGTCTACCCATTAGGGCAATCCCTGAGGTCCCTTCAGGGAAATCCTAGACTCCTTGAAATATGGTTTGGCAGTTCTAGTGATTTCCAAGAAATTATACTTCAAACCAAAGAACAGATTTGCCAAGAGCCAATTGTCCAGTTTACTGTAATCTCTTCCTCTAAACTTCCTTTGCATCACCTCTCTGACTGTTCACAGAGGACTAGATGAAAAGCACAGCGTTACCATTTCTAGAAACTATCTGAATACCTTCTGTTGGATAACAGAGTCATTATCTTAATTTTAGGAAGCATTCTATTTCACATATTGGTAGCCTAGAACAAGCCAGGATTGGGAAGGAAAGAATATTAAAAAAAATTTACCAAGGCTAGTCTTCCAAGAAATAGAATTGTGGCTCTGGAAACAGAAAAAAACCCTATACATCATATGTCATGACATTCTTAAAATTTTATATGAGTAAGAATATTTTTAGCAGTAATTTTTTTTTGTATTTCTGATATTTTTCTCTAATATTTTAGGACATTTTAGATGAAATGAGAAAGGAATTAGCAAAGCTAAAAGAAGAGCTCATTGATGGTAAGTGTCTGGACAAGTTTACTATTCCTGTAAAACAGTGCTTAAGATTCACCATTTTTAAGAAAATACAAATAAGGAAATACCCATTTGATTACTTGCCTTCCAAAGTCCTGCCCTTTTAAGATTAGGGTTTTAGGGAGGAGGTCTCTCCTTCATATAATGGAAATTACTTGTATAAATAGGGGCTAAACAGTATCCCTACATTTCAGATGTTGTCTTTTCTTAGATGGAAAACCACATGAACAGATCTTCCCTCTAGGTTACCTCTACTCACCTATCCCAGTGCCGCCTTGTTTTTGAGCCCACATAATCAGTGTTGTCATTTTGTGTACAAAAGGAGAAAACAAATATATGGAAATTAGAATCATCTTTCTAATATTAAAGAAGTGTGCAATGAAAGATGCAAAGTTAATCTATCTTTTTATTACTGTGAGTTTGAGCACAATCCTTAAAGTTTCTTAAGAATGAAATCACTCATTTATTTTACTTTATCATTATATTTATTTTCAATACTTGTTCTTTTCTACCCAGCAATCAGGCAGGAACTGAGCAAGTCAAATACTGCATAAAGAAACAGACTAAGGAGAGATAGGACTTTAATTTGAAGAAAAAAAAAATCCTACAAACAACAACTGTTCACAACAGCAAACCCCTACATTTTATGAGCTGTAAGAAGAAAATGGAGACAAACAGGAGGAGGGAAAAACCAGCCTACTCTGAAAGCCTTCAGACATTATGACTCTGGCGATAAGCTCTTTCCCTCTCAGTTTGCTGCTTTTTTCTGGCCTTTACAACAGAATGGAAGAGAATCATATAAGAGTTCCTGTAACAGTTATGCAGAAAATACTAAAACCCATCAGGCAAGATCATTGCTCATTGAAATATTTTCATGTCAAGATAAAATCGCACATTTTCCGCAATTCGTTGCTAAAATAAAGAGGAGAAAGGCTTAGGAAGTTTTTTTGCAGAGAGTGCTGATGAAGAATTGAGTACGTTTGCTATTGTATTGTAATGTTTCTCTCAGGTTTGTTCTTCCTATCATGTTTGATATTCCATGAATAATTGAGATCAGCCCTGTGTAAGTTAAGATCGTAATATGCGGAACAAATGGAATTGTAAGTGCTTTCAAAGGTTAATATTTATAAGAAAGTGTCCTAAAAATGATTTGTTCAGCTTGAGGAATTTTAGAATGATAGGAAGTCTCTCGAGTTAGCCTTCATGCAATTTTGTAGATTAAAACATAAAATTTGTCCAGAATTTAAAGATTTAGATGCCTTCCTAAATTGTTACAATGCTTTACCAAATCTATGACTTCTACATAACACAAACCAGTGGTCAAATGTAAACAATATATTGTAGATTTACTGTAGGTTTTCAACCTTTTTTAGATTTATGCATGTGGACATTTTTATAATGTAATTACAATCACCACAAAGTTAGCTTTTTTAATCGCAGACAGTAATGCATGTCACACTAATATGTAGTGGCCTTTTCAAGGCCTAGTCCCAGGGAAAACATTTTGTAGAATATAGGGGAGTGGGAGGAAGGGGAGGAATAATTTTTTATTTAAAGTTGATTTCTGCATTATCTTTTTCTCAATTACCTGCATGAATAATAATAATGAGGAATATTTTGTGACTTTAATTGGTAAATATGTTACAAAACCAAGTACTTAATCTTTTACATCATGTCTTCAGCTATTTGTATTTTAACCAGTAATTTCAATGGTCTGAAACATGATTCTGAGCTTCACATAACATCTTACTGTGAAACTCAAAAGTTTGATCACTGAATTTGGCAGTTATTATTACCTAGGTACCCCTGCTGTTACACAGGTGTTTAGATACATGTTCCTGAATGAAGCTGCTTTTGAATTTTGTTATGTTGAAATACAAGAAATAACAATGAGGGCAGCAATTAAGGTCACAGAAATTATTAGGTAAAGGAAAACCAATGAGGAATTCTGCAGTTTTCTTTTAATAAGTGAAGTGGGACTTGGGTGGTGGGAAGAAGGAATTAGATACTCTACCCGCCATCCTGCGTGTGTGTGCACTTGGGCACGTGCTGTCTAGATGTAAGCCACTCCCTTTTCTTTCCTTTGAAACTGATGAGGTTAAAATAGGGGAGAAATCCTATATATTGCAATGATAGCTTTCTGGAAAATTTAAGAAATCATACTCTCCAGGCTCTCCTTCCTGATTTATGCTTGAGTCGTTATGTGCCATATTTGCTTTGAACTCTGATTATCAGAAGTTTTACTAAAATTTTGAAGAAATAATTCACTTTCATCTGCTTTCCAGATTTTGTACGTCTCAGTTCATAAAGCAAAGCTTGTTGATAATGTAGTTTTCCAAATGCTGCAGATCTGCAGCCATTACCACTGCAAAGATGTTTGTTTGGATGAGGGATTTTTTTTTTCTTTGTTAAAATAGTTCCTGTTTCTGTAGAAATTTCATTTTTAGATTAAACTGTGATGGATGAGCTGTCATAATTCAAGTATACATTTCTTTTTTCTGTCAGATAGGCATTGTCATGCAGTAGCAGTAAAAGCATCAGAGGCACAGCAAGCTTATGCAGTTCTGTTTTCTAAAAGAAATAGGAGGCATTTTCATCTTTATTATTGTACTTTTGGTTATGCAAACACTTTGATAATATAAAGTTACATCCCCTATAAATCTGGTCAGAAACCTCTTTTGATTTTGTTGGGTACATTAACTAGTCTGTAGTAGGTAGAGTACTGGGTACAAGTGGTCCAAACTAAGATAAGAGACTAAAATAAAATGCTAAATCTTAAACTGGGTTTATGCACTAAACGTTTTGTGCCTTGGTCTAATATTAACATGATGTCTGTGTAAAAGGACAAAAAGAACCAGTGTTGAATCACGCTATATTTTCCATCATCCCAGATTGCTAAATGTGTTCTTTCCAAGAAGTCTGAACGAATTATTATATACATTTTCTGTCATGTACACATGACAGTTGTGTCATTGTTAGAGATTTCAGTAATTAAAATGGGAAACAGAAGCTTAAGTTATTTTCCTTATCAAAAATATGTTCCTTGGAACCACATTGTTATGATGGTTTTTGTGCTCTTGTACATTGGATGTCTTAAGCTAAGTACAGTTTAGGGGATCCTTTCTAATTAATTACAGGAAGGTACTGCTTTCCTCAACACTGTGATCTGACCTGTGACAAATCTGTACTATACACTATGTAAATGGCTAACAAGTCAATTGCAAACAAACTGAATGTACAAATCTTAGTGCTGGTGCTGAAATCTCTTCAGAATAGTTATGATTTAAAAGTTTGTTTATAAATTTGCAAGCATCAAGTGTCAATCAAAACTGAAGATGAAACACTAATGAATGTTGAATTCTCATGCTTTTAGGTATACTTCCTTTTTAGAATTTTCAGTTTTCTGCTATTTTTACCGTAACTATTTCGTTTAAATTTGTTTCACTTAAATTTCCTACACGCTAACTTCGTTTGTGCGATTGAAATAAAATTGCAGTATATATACATTGCTTGTTTGTGACACTTAGATAATCTTCTGAAATAATTTGTTAGTAAGTTATATTGGATGTTAAAAACACCTTTTAAAGTCCAAGACTTCACAGCTTAAAAGTTTACATGTCATGTCACTATTCTTTAAAGATTTCATAGAAGTCATGAATAGTAAGTAATGTATACAAAGAAAATCTGTGATGATTTGTCTACTTTTTGTTTGAAATAACTGTTGGGTGTTCCTTGTTTGTTATTTTCTCTCTGCCCACCTTGATACAGTAACTTACTCTATAGTCAAGAAGATGATAAATGTTTAATTTTTATTCCATTTTTTTCTACAACACGTTCAGATACTTAAAACTCGTTCATGCAGTTAGAATTTTTCTTTGTATAGTTTGCATGGTAAAGGACATTGTGTGGTAAAGGGCATTATCAAGTAATGAATTTTAAGTGTAGCAAAGTCTGTATAGTGTTTCTACATGACACTGATTTCTTAAAACCTACATATAAGCAGTAGTACTTTTTATCTATTGTAAAGTATTAATTTTGAGTTCCATTTTATAATTCTGATGTCTTCATTAGAAATACAAAAATACAATCCTTGTATTTTTTTTCTTTTATCAAACCCAAATTTTCCCCCTTCCCCCTTCCATTCTCATCTCCACTTCTCATGGACCACGTGTTCCTGACATTCATTAACATCTGCAGCCATTACAGAGTTCAGAGTTTTAAATTTTTCAGCTCATTTTTTTTTTCTCTATCCTGTCTTATGTTCTTGCTTCTCTTCATATGTAAGAATTTTCATCTACAAATTGAAGGTCACTTCTCATTTAAAAATGAATTAAGTAACATGCAAAATTTTTAAATTTGTCTAGCTACAACGTTTATGTCTCTTAAATTTATGTATACTTTGAGTGCCATTGTGAAGAATTGGCCTTTAAATTCTAAGTAGTGTTACCCTGTGAAGCACATTGTGCAGAGGTATGCCACAGGGTCTCTTTAATTGCTGTGTAGCCGTTATAACTTTATAACACCATTACCCTTTAAATGCTGCCGATTATAAGCAGCATAAAAGTAACTAAAGCAAACATTGCAAAGGAATGCTCTAGGAGCTCTTAATTCCTGATGTAGCTGTTACAAAAATCACTTTCCCGAAGACATTTACTCTACCATTCACTTCCAAACTCCAAACCTGTTTCTGGTAGCACCACTCTTGTTTTTAATAGAAAGATGAGTTCATATCTGTACATCTCTGCAAAGCTCTAAGGAATGAGAAAAGGATCCTAGTATATTGAAATTACTGATGTTTAATACCTCCGCCTTTTCACTGAAAGCCATTTAATATTTATACATTAGATGCTTTTTAAAGTCAAAACTTGACATACAGGTATTTATAAGGAATCTCCATGACTCTGAGGGAATAAAATTGATCTAGGTGTCTTTGGCTACATAAAGACATAGTAGAGGACGTTGACTTACAAGAGTAGTTTTCTGAGGATGTGTAGGTTTGACTAAGCAGCTCAAGTCAGTAACCCCTCAAGAAAGTTCGTTTATAGGAGCCAAGAACAGTTGGAGGTCTGTGGTGCAGGTTTTTTCTGTTCCCAACACCAAAAGCTGTGGTTTATTAGATTTGTTCTCCTTTATGTTCTCTCTGAATAATTTTTGAGACATCAAGATTTTAAAAAATATCTTAATACTGGAAAGATGAAACCTTCAAATTTAAAAAGACTAAAATTGATTAGAAAGGAAAGTAAAATATTGCAGTAAATTTAGGATGGTTACAGATATTCAGCATCAAATAAATGGAGTTATATGATAAATTCTCTGTTGAATACTAATGGTCAAGTCACATAAGAGGAAAATTAAATCTTTTGGTGGGCAGGTACATTTAAAAACTGCTAAAGAATTAACTGTAAATTTGTCTAAATAGTTTATAAAGTAGCAGAAACATTGTAAAAGGGTAAATAAATGACCATCATAAAGATAGGATGTTGTAAGAATGTCTGCCACATTTATTGGTTATTTCTGTTGAAGTCTGAAGGAATCAAAACATGTCAAGATTGAGAAAGGGAAAAAATGACTTTCTTTCAGCTACAGATAATCTGTGATGCACGTTACTTTCTAAACAGAAATGTTAGTATTATTTAAAGCATAGACATTAGTTTAACATGTAGAATAAAGATGAAGCCCCAACTAAGTGTTTAAACCAAAGAATCACAGTCACTGAGCTGCACCCCGGTTCTGTGAAGCATGTTAAATACTCCTAAAGAGCAGAGAGCAGGGTCTGTAGACGCTTCTGGTGCAGGACACAGGACTCCTAGGCAGAGGGAGAAAATTAGGGGCCCCAGTCGGTGGCTGAGAGCAAAAAGAATGTAGCATTTGAGTAGTGCTATTCTTTTCCTCACTTTTTTAAAGGCATACAATTCCTAGAAATTAGGACATCTAAATAACCAGTGAACTGGTCACTAAATTCAGTCTTCTCAGCAAAGAATAAGTTCTGGCCAGATGCAGTGGCTTATACCTATAATCCCAGCACTTTGAAAGGCTGAGGTGGGAGGATTGCTTGAGGCCTGAAGTTTGAGATCAGCCCAGGCAACATAGGGAGACCTCATCTCTACAAAAAAAAAAAAAATTTTTTTTTAATTTGGGCCAGGCATGGTGGTGCACACCTATAATCCCAGCTACCCAGGAGACTGAGGTGGGAGGATCACCTGAGCCCAGGGAGGCTGAGACTGCAGTGAGCCGTAATCATTCCACTGCACTCCAGCCTGGGTGACAGAGCAAGACCCTGTCACTTGAGAAAAAAAAATTCTAAGAGAATACAGCTTTTTATTTTAATTGAAATGATTAGAAAGCTTACATACTTCATTAGATATAGCCCAGACTACATATATTCCATAAAAGATCTGTATAAAAATGATAGCCTCATAGTTTAGCCTGATTAAACTGTTCCCTCAATTCCAAGAAAGATTTCTTCAGCAGGAGGTGACAATTCTAAAAACATAAATCACTAATAAAGAAACTGGATAATGTTATAGGTTTTTTGCTTAGATTTTAGTAAATAGTTATTCTTCTAAGAAGGCTGAGAAAATAGAAAAGATTGCACAGTTGGTACTTTGAATTCCACAGGAAATTGCACTCAAAAGAAGTCTACATTGATTGGTGTTTAGATTGAGAGATTGAATTCTCCCATCAAGTCCAAAACTTTCCATTCAAGTCTACAGAAACTGATAAAAAAAAGCTTGTCTTACACTTAAAATATGCATTGTTGTTACCATACAAAAGAAATACATTATAGAAAGCTTTTTAAAATTTCATCTCTTAAGTGCCTAACATTCCATGCTTTAGTCACATCTGTGAAACCTCTTTTTTTTTTTTTTTTTTTTTTAAGATTAAAGGCATTTTAAAAATAAATGTTTTATAGCTGGGGATGATGGCTCACGCCTGTAATCCCAGCACTTTGGAAGCCTGAGATGTGTGGATCACCTGAGGTCAGGAGTTCGAGACCAGCCTGGCCAACGTGGTGAAACACCATCTTTACTAAAAATACAAAAACAGGCCAGGCGTGGTGGTGGGCACCTGTAATTCTAGGTATTCTGGAGGCTGAGGCAGAAGAATAGCTTGAACCTGGGAGGTGGAGGTTGCAGTGAGCTGAGATCGCACCACTGTACTCCAGCCTGGGTGACAGCAAGATTCTGTAAATGAATGAATCAGTGAATGTTTTTCAGCTTATTTTACGTGAGAAATACCAGCTTTTCATTGTTACTACGACTTGATCTCAGGTATCACTTGGCTGGTTCTGCTGACCATATCACTGGGCGTTATAAATACGGAGTTTCCCTCCAGCTTTTTATCAAGTCTGGGGTTTGTCCATCTTGGTGGTGGACTAACTTAACCATGGATTCACAAACCCATTTGACTGTCCTAAGTCATGAGGCCACCCCAGTGCCAGTGGTTGGGCATTACAGCGAGTCTGGGGTGATGAATTTAGCTGCAGTTCTGCACCTCAGGAGCAGGCCATGGATGGTTGGTAATAGATGTTGACTTTGCCACTTAAATTTCCAGGAAGAAGAATAGCTTATAGTTTATCTGAGGAAAGTAATGGGAAGGCTTAGAACCTGAGAAGAAAGCCCTATTAAAATCTAGGTAGCATTTCCTTTCCGTTTATTTATTACTAAAAAAGATGAGAGGTTTAGGCCTGAGTCAGGACTTTACAATTTGGTGTCCTTCCCAGAGGTACTCCAGGCCTCATCATTTTAAGTTTCAATTGCAAAAAGAAAAAAATTTTTCAATAGAGTCTTGCTCTCACTCAGGTTGGAGTGCAGTGGTGCAATCTCAGCTCACTGCATCCTCAGGTTCAAGCGATTCTCCTGCCTCAGCCTCCCGAGTAGCTGGGATTACAGGCACCTGCCACCACACCTGGCTAATTTTTGTATTTTTGGTAGAGACGGGGTTTCACCATGTTGGCCAAGCTGGTCTCGAACTCCTGAGCTCAGGTGGTCCACCCACCTCGGCCTCCCAAAGTGCTAGGATTACAGGTGTGAGCCATAGCACCTGGCCTTCAATTGCAGAAATTTTTGAAGGGAGAATATTTAGTCCTCACATAAAATGTCCTTGTTTTTGAAAGAAAATGTAAAAAGATTGTCACTTGAGTCCACGTCTTTGCCACCTTCTTGGGCTTGATTTCCCTTTCTCTGTGTTCCTCCTGCCCTCAGGCTCCTTTTTGCCTGTGGAATTGTGGGCAAGTCATTGGACTGGCACTGGCAGTCCCAGTTGTCATGCTGCGGGGCTCGTTGGTCATTCTGAGCCTTCTACCTCTAAAATTTAGTTATTTTTAAAAATTCTTTTTGTTTCATTTTTATTTTTTCCTCACCACTATACAAGCGAGGATAAAGCTTTTATTATTATTATTGTTTTGAGATGGAGTCTCGCACTGTTGCCCAGGCTGGAGTGCAGTGGCGAGATCTCAGCTCACTGCAACCTCTGCCTCCGGGGTTCAAGCGATTATCCTGCCT